GGCCATTTGACAAGGAATAGTGGGTTGACAGTGCGCACAGACACGCACACACTCACACACGCGCGTACACGCATACACACTGCCCCTCATTTCCAGGTCCTCTACTTCAGGGCAGCCCATTCTCCTCTGTACTCATAAAAACCTGCATCTTTGGCCAGTAATGTTGCGAGGTCTTCACAGATGGCTGCTTCTGCATACACAGAGGAACTCTTTGTCAGGTTCTGCAGACTGATACTTAGAGAGGCAGAGTCTTCAAGAGTATTTATTTCTACTGGCAGGTGGAACTTTCCCAAACTGGGAGTCAGCCTTGCTCAAAGGCATGGTTTGTAAAAAGTAGACGGTAAAAAGTATATTAGAGGTAATTTGACACTCCTGCTGGCATAGTTCTCCATTCAGCATTTAAAAACCCATTCAGGTTATATCTTCCTAAAAAGATTGATTTATATGTTTACACGAAATGATAAGTTGCATTAGATGGTCTGTTTGAGGATTTCCATGACAGCCTCTTTTCCTGAGATGGAGAGATTGGAGGTAATCCACTCGCTCAATGTGGAAGCAAACTGTGGGTTCTCGGTAGCTAAAGAAGCCATGTACTTACTATATAGTGTTTTTCTCAGAGTATCAACTCATGTTCTTCAAATGCTTTTCTTTTTTTTTTAGTAGTGAGGGAAAAGGTATAATTTGGGATTCCACAGTGCCTTGCATATAGTAGGCGCCCAATAAATATTTGATGAAGCAAACCAAGTTTCCCAAGTCCTTGTCTCGCAGTGACCAAGAACATCTTTCTCCTCCGAAGGGCTTGGCATTTGTGGCTAAAAGATAAGCAGTATCATTATTTGCTTGAAATCACATATACTATTTGTATGAATTTCGGTATGTTGCCAAGACATGATCTTTTTCTTATTGTATTTTCTGTAAATATTTCTGGCACTGAACTGTAAAGTAAAGGTGAAATGTAAATATGAAGGCATCCCCGTGTCCCCTCGCCTCCTGTGTTTTCTCTTCGTTGGTTAGGGAAGAAGCCCAGAGGCTTGTTTGTATTTATGCCCATCCTTTGTCCAGAAGAAACCCATGGAATATTGAATGTAATACATTTAGTCAATTAAATTTTAAGGAGATTCTTATCTACTAATGTTGTGTGTGCTTCTGATCCCAGGCTGGGGGTTTGATTCCTGTGTGGGTGTTCCTAATTTACTCTTTCCAGGAGGCTGGGCTCTGCTCTGCTCTGGCTGCTCTTCATAATTTAGATCCGTGACGTTCTCTTGGTTTTGTGGAGTCTCGTCAAGTACTCAGAGTTGGTTGGTAAAAGCATTTGGCCTCTGTGCTGGAAGGAGCTTGTGTAATTAAAGCTGCTGGCAGAGGCCACCTCACAGGGGCAGCTGTCCTGAGGGCACGGAAATGCTGGCTATGCTCTGCCCTCGAGTCCCAGCTCTGCCAGGCCGACCAGTCAGAAGGGGAGAGAAGCAGAGGAGGTCACCCCCTCCACACTCTCCCCAAGAGTAGGGTTGGCTGAAGAGGCTTCTATGGGGCCAGATTAGCATCTTTAGTGCCTAGATGCACATGGTGGGTGGTTGTACCACTTGAGGAAATAGGGGTGGGTGCCTTTGCTGAGAGTCACCCCCCAGCCTGGCACTGATCCCATGTGAGTTAGTGTGTGGCCCCCAAACTGCTCGAGGGAGCTGCCTTCCCTGCAATTGTGTCCACACCTGCTCTGCCTGCCCACCACAGGACCTCTCCCCAGGCCCTGGTGGCCGGGGAAGCTTCTCTCTGGGCTGACTGCCTAGTTACCCTGTTTTGGGTCTGACAAGAAAAATGTGTGTTCAAGCTTTTCCCACCAGTGCTGTTCTCTTTCTGGCCCCAGGCCCCTCAGGACCCAGTACCAAGAAATCGCCCCCAACCCAGACCACCTAGCTTAGTTCTGGTCTTGAACTCTCGGCCTAGAGTGGCATAGCCCAACCAGGGCTGTGCTTCCTGGACACACATTGTAATGCCATCTGCCCAGACTTCCTCTTCCGGTGACTGGTCATCCCACAGCTAGGCTAAGACTCCCACGAAACACACTGGCCCTCCAAGCCCCAGCCCCCCCCCGCCTTATTTTTATTTCTTATTTATTTATTTAATTTTCACCCAAGGACATACTTAGAGAGAGGAAGGAAGAGAGAGGGCGATGTGAGAGAGAAACATCAATTGGTAGTACATGCCCTGAGTGGGAATCAAAGCCACAACCCAGGTGTGTGCCCTGACGGAACCAGTTGAACTGGCAACCTTTTGGTGCACAAGATGATGCTCAACCTACTGAGCCACTCTGGCCAGGTTCCCCTCCCTCATTTTTATTGTGGCTGGCCCCACTTGCCCTTCTCCCCAGGCTGGTGGCTTCCTAGAAGGGGTTCCTTTCACCCCTTGTCTCCCTCTAGGTCTACCACCCACTTCTTGCAGCTGCTCCCCCAGCCTGGAACTGGGCCTGCCCAGCTTTCCAACCTGTTCCCCATGAAATACCATGTTCTCGAAAGCTTCTAGATTAAATAATCCTTTTCGTTCTCGAAGTCTGCATCAGACTGGTTACCCATTAATGTGTCGAGTACTGAGCCTCACCCCCTGGAGGTTCTTACTTAGTCGAACAGGGTGAGCATGGACATCAGCATGTTTCTTAAGAACCCTCCACCTCCCATCACCTGCTGGCAGTGACTGAGGCAGGTGGTCCAAGGACTGTCTCGGCAAATACCATGCTTCTGCCTCCCTCCACACACAGCAGCCACTCCTCGTGTTGACCTCCCACACACCAGGCTCTAGCTCTGGCTGTCGGGCCCTGGGAGATCCAGAGCCTCCTGCTATGGGGCCTGGCACATGGGGTTTACTAACTACTCGTGAATGAATGAATGAATGAATGAATGAATGAATGAATGAATGAATGAATGAATGAATGAGGGGGTGATGTGGGAGGAGATTAGAATGGCATTTGGGAGTATTCTGCCCACTTGGGAGATAAAGGAACAAGGTTAGAGCCTTAGAAGCCCCTCGCTGAACACCCTAATAAGGAGAGGTGCCAAAGCTTCTAGATTAAATAATCCTTTTCGTATGGCTACTATGTGTTAGAAAGTTTTAAATGTCAGCCCAGTGACCCAATCTGGCCCACCAGACTTGTTTTGTTTAGCCAACAGTATTTTGATGTTTGATTCAATATTTTTAAATTGGCAAATTTTACACAAAAATTCCAATGTTTTGGCTCTTCTGGAAGTCAGGAGAGCTGGCCGTGCTGGACCTGCATCTCCCACACATCAGCTATTGGCTGGAGCTGTAACGGCTGCCTGCTTTAGAGGCACTGAACTCCATCCAGTTTGCACTGTCCTCACCACTCCCACAAAGTGTAAATGTGGGCACACGTAGCTGGAATTTTGGGACCGGGGACCTGGCTGGCTCCTAGAGAAATCTGTGATCTTAAATATATGAACACCCACCCAGTACTTACTTTTCTAACTTTCAGCAGCTTGGTGCGGTAAGAATTATTCCCATCCCACGAGGGGATCTGGGAGGTAGCACATGAACCCAATAGCAACTTAGCAGGGATTCAAACCCAGGCCTGTGTGCCTGGGAGGCTGGGCTTCATTCTCACTGCCCGGCTCCTGACCATTCATCCAGAACAGCTCTCCCTCTGCCTGAAGGACACTGTGACTTCCTTGTTACATCACCAGCTCAGTCACAATTGGTTTGAGAGCAGAGCATGGCCCAGCCCACCAGATCCCCAGGGCAGCCCTGCCAGCCCCACTCAGGCTGGCCTGGCTTAGCCACACACGCACCATGAAGTACCCTCTAGTGCCGCTGGTGAACGACCTCACGTTTTCATTCCTGGTGGTCTCGCTCGGCCTGCCTGTGGCCTTGCTGCTATTCTTGTTGATCGTCTGGTTTCGCTTCTTACTTAGCCAAGGTGAGCTGCCCAGTCTGGGCCCTGATCCTGGAACTGGGCTGGGGGTCCTGAAACCACTGCAGAGAGAGGGACTTCCTTTGGGCATTTTCACTGCTGGCTCAGAGCCAACAAGTGATCACCTGAAAGAGAAATGGACCCGGCAGTTTAGAGTTTCTTAATTAGAGTCCAAGAGTGAATCCCTGAGTGTGACTGGGAAGCAATATGTATGTGTGCGTGTCTGTGTCCCCTCAGGGCCACTGCTAGCACATAAGGTCTTTGGTGCTAGCAGTGACCCTCGGAAAGTGGTGGCCCCTCTGGGCAGATGCATTAGTAGAAGGCACCCCTTCCTGTGAATGCAGCCAGTGAGCAGAGCTTGGGCTGGATTTCAGTCCCTTACCCCCTCAGCTCAGTGCTTTTGTGCAGTAAACTCTGCACAATGGCCTGTCAGCCTTAGGCATTTACCGGGTGCCAGCGACCACTCACCCTTTTCTGTCCAGACGGTACATCAGGGAGGATCCCGGTTTCTCTAGACTCAGGGTCACTGGAGCAGGCTGACATCTGCCCTGAGCTCAGCGTGCTGGGGTGGAGCTGGCCATTGAGAGCCTAGGGCCGGTGGGCAGGGATGCAGCTTGGCCATGTGGCGGGAATGACACTCCGCTCGTCAGGTGTCCTGTCTCCCTGGGCCTCTTCCTGGGAACAGCTTGACCTCCCACCTCCTGCTCCTCAGCCCCATGAACTTTGGCCAACTGGGCAGGCAGGGCGGGCACTGAGTGTGCTGCCACCTCTGGTCAGATGGCATTGAGATGGGGTGAGCAGTTCACCCCCTAACCTATCCCATGATTTCGAATGAGGGAGCTGGCCATTGTGTAATTATTGAAAGTTCCTGGCGAGAGCTTTTAGAAAGCGTTTGTTTAAAGTGTCTCCCCATTCCCAGGGTGGACCACAGCCCTCCCTGAGGGGCACACCTCGGGCATCGGGGTGGCTGGTGGATGTCAGAGCACTTGTCTGTGCAGTGTCTATACCAGCCCTCTGTTCTGGAGTCTAGGGGACGTGGGTCCAGATTTCAGCCTTGCCCCTTTACAGCTTTCTTGAACACTGTGTACTAGGACTCATGCTCCGTACTTGATGTGTATTGTTTCATTTACCTCTCAAAGTAACCCTGTGAAATAATCTTTACTGTACAACTGAGGAAACTGAGGCTTGGAGGGGAGAAGCAACCTGCCTGAGGTCACACAGCTATGGAGTATTTAAGAGTGTGGATCGCCTGGTGTAAAATCCTGGCTCTGGCACCTACCAGCTGTGCGACTTTGGACAAGCCCTCCCTGAGCCTCAGTTTTCTCATCTACAAAATGGAGATAATTATGGTCTCTGCCCTTTTGGAGAGATGCACATGAAGGGCAGGGCACACAGTATGTGTATATACATGGCACATAGTAGGTGCTTGCAGGCTGAGGATTAATCTAGTCAGTATCGGTGGTGTCAAGGTAGGAAGCATAGGAGTGGCTTTGGGTGACTTCTCTGGGAGGAGAAGGGACATATTCCCTGAGGTCAAGGCACTAATCTCCGGCAGCAATTCATTCTCCTTGGAGGCCCTGTTCTAAAGCTCTCCACCCCCCTCACACTTTCTCCTGAGAGGCTCTTTACCCACTGACGTCTCATGTGGCACTAAGAAATAAGTCCTTTTGTTAATTTTTTTATTTTTATTTTTTGGCTAATCCTCACCCAAGGATTTTTTTCCCATGGAGTCTTAGAAAGAGTGGAAGGGAAGGAGGGAGGGGGTAAGAGGGAGAGAAGGGAAAGAGAGAGAAACATTGATGTGAGAGACACATTGATTGGTTGCCTCCTGTACTGGGGTTGGGGATCAAACCTGCAACCCAAGTACAGGAATCGAACCTGATTCCTTGACCAGGAATCGAACCCGAGACCCTCTGATGTGCAGGCCGATGCTCTAACCATGGTGCCGCACCGGCCAGGGCCCTTTTGTTAATTTTGCGATGAATAGAAACCATCCTTAAAGTGAGTGAGCAGCCCCCCTTCAGAGTCCCTGTCTTCTTGGAGCTCTCAGTACTATTGTGTCTGTTCTGGCCTTGTGCTGGGAACTGGCCCAGACCCAGTGTCTGGGCCTACCAGGGTTTTGGGGGTTGGGGGGTAAGTGCTGGGGCTTGCAACACCCTAGCCTGTGGTTTTCTCTCTGCTGTAGAGTCACTTTGGCCTGGAATCCAGTGGAAAGCAGACAAGAGTAGCTCTGATTCCCCCTCCCCACCCCTGCCTGGCCTGGCTCCACGGGGCAGTGTCAGGGTCCAGGAGGCAGAGGGTTGAGCAACATGCCCCGTGGCCAGTGTGGCCAAGGCGGATGCAGTTTCCCAGGTGGAGAGGAAAGCAAGTGGGCGGAGAGAAGGAAGCTTCCTGGTGAGTCCCGGGAAGCTGGCCAAGGGGACAGCAGTAACCCCTTGCCATTATATAGGGAGAGGGGACACAGCCAGACGTGCCCTTCAAGGGGAAGACGCCCTACAGAGGGTATTTCCTTTGCGATTTGAAAGGAATTTGCAGAAAGAAGAGGGGAAACCTCCAAAGGCATGGATTTAGGGCTGAAACAGAACTGGGCACCATAGGCTATGCCTGTTGAGGGTCCTGACCACTCCTCACGCTGGTCCTTGGAGCGAGCTGTTAATTTTGAAGCTGCCTTTGAAGTCCCTGACCTCAAACAGGTGCGCCCAACAGAATGAACGGGACTGTGGAGTGGGAGGTGCATCTGAGTCCAGCACGACCCCTTCCTGGCTGTGAACCAGACATCAACTTTCTGAGCCTTCCTCATGGTAGAATATGAAGAACATTGGTAACTGCCTCAGGACGTTGTTAAGAGGATTAAGTGAGAAAATGCATGTAAAACATGTAGCACATAGCACGTGCTCAGCAAACAGTCGCCATGGCTAGTGAAGAACAGCCACTTCAAGCCACTGTGCTGATTTTTTACTGATATCCGCCGACATTGTTGAACAACTGTTTCACATGTCTTACTTCAGTGAACCCTCATTATAGACAAGGCTGTTGTTATGCCCATTTTACAGATGAGGACATTGAGGCTCAGTCTTTTCTGTCTTCAGCTCTTGGTCTGCAGTTCAAGGGCCTTATTTAGCCTCCTTCATCTGTCTGCAGCTGGTGAAGTAAGAGTATATGTAGTAAGAAAAATAACTTCTCCTGCCCCCTCACCCTTCTCACCGTGCCTCCCAAGCTAAGCCTTGTTAGCAAGCTCATGCACCTATTTAATGACACCTGTAGGTTTTCCAAAAACAATGGAGGAGGGAGTGTTCTTTGTTTTCCTATAAAAGAAGGGATTCTACCATATACATTTCTCTGCAGCTTGCTTGTAACACATCATAGACATCCTGCAAGTGGAAAGGTACAGACCTAATGTCGTTATTTTAATAGCTTCGCGACATTCCATTGGATGGATGGGCCAGGTCTCCATTAGGTGTGATTGTGCCACACTTCAATCAACCAGAACCCTCATGATGGACATGCACGCGCATGGTTTCTGGGGTGTTTTATTGTGTGTGCATGTTCTACCATAAAAGTGTGCTGCAGTGGAAATCAATGTACATGTATACTCAGATATTTGTTAATGAATGAATGGTCTGGTGGACAAATGGATGGTTGGGTTTATGTCTCCTCTGTGCCTGCTCCTGGACCATGTCCAATACAGGTAGGTCATTTGTTCACCTCTAGGGTCCTTCCCTGTTAGTAGGTGGATACGGCCACTTTGTGAGTTACAGAGCAACCTTTTTGATCCCTGGTCACCATTCGAGGCCCTGAAGCCTTCCTGAGGTCTCAGAGCTGGTCCCCTGGCCTCAGACAAGGCTGCGAGGACACCCAGGCCTGGCAGGGGGGTCCTCTTGGATCAGGGACAGGAGACTGGATGTGACCATCCAAGAGGCCTTGTCTGCCTTATACCTCCACAGATTCAGAGGAAAATGATACAGATTTGTGCTTTGACTGGGAGCCGTGGAGCAAAGGCCCAGCCGAGTGGGACAGGACGCTCCATGGCGAAGAGGAGGAGAGGCCCTGCCAGTGAGCCTGTTCTGCCAGGTGCGGCCCTTTTAGGGAGGTGGGGCTGGGAGAAAGGGGAGCCTTAGAGCTTGCCCATAGCCTTGAGGGGCTGCCATGTGGAGAGCTGACTCCCTCCACCACGGGAGAGCCTGCCATCGCTGCCGCGTCGAACCTCCTGCCTCACTGTGTGGAGGCCCAGCCGCTGCTGTCGTGAAGAACTTCCTTACAAAGGCCCCCCATCCTTTACTTCTTGGCCTCACCTCCCGCCTCTCACTAGGGCCTTTGCCCTGGCTTTTCCCTCTGCCTGGAACCCTTCTCCACTGGACATCCACTTGGTGGACTCCCTCACCTCTGAGGTTTTGCTCAAATGCCCTTTTTCAGCAGGGCCTCCCTGACTGTCTTCATTGTTATTGACGTCTCTCCCCAGCTTTGTGACCCCCCTACTCTGCTTTCCTTTGTCCTTTGCCACAGTGGGGGCTCAGTAGGTGTTTGTAGACGGGATGAAATGATGATGATGATGATAACAACAACAGCTGATACTCATTGGGTGCTTAATAGATACCAGGGCCTGTGCTGGGCGCTTCCCTTTCACAAGCTCGTTCGTGACGCCTGCAAACAGGATATTATTCTTACCTCCACTTTCCGAATGAGAATGCAGAGGGGCAGTGCAGAGAGCGAGTGCCCAGAGCAACGAGCCCAGCAGCCATGGCACACCTCGGGGACCTCGTCTGTTCCGATGGGGCTAAATGCCATCTCCATGCCAGTGACCCCCAAATGTGTGTATCTCGCTCTAATGTTCCTTCTGAGCTTGACACCTCTTCATGGCTAGAATGGAATACTTTTTATTCCCTTTGCCAAACCCAACAAAGAAAAACACAGCTTCTCTCGATGGGTCTAGCTGAGCGAGCCACACACCTGACAATTGGCCTCAGGCTTTCTTTGCCTCCCACCCCACATCCAGTCCCGCCCCATCCTCCATCTCTCACACCCCCACTTCTCCCTGTCCCCAGGGCCACCACAGCCTGCCCTACTGCGAAGTCTGCCCCTAAAACATGTTGCTAACCCCCTACCCTGTCCCTGTGGGTCACGACTTGGAGCCCCCGCCTGTCCGAGTGGAAGGAGGAGGGGGGCTGAGAAACATGGACTCTCGTGTACCCTCAGTTACAGTGACTCTTAACCTTCTCAGGTCACGACCTTGACAGTTGAGGGCCCTCTCCCCAGAGTTCTGTGTATGGGGCCGGCTTCACGGGGCGTGACTCGTGTGGTCCCACAGGGTCCCGTGTTCAGAAGAGCCCATGCTTGGCTTAATGCTCGGCCATTGCGGTCTTGAAATTTTTAATAACTTTTAACAAGGGACCCCCATACTCATTTTTAACGGGCCCCACAAATTATGAAGTCTGCCTGGTTTGTGTGTAGTTACTGGGGTAAGAAAAGGAGATATTCAAACTCTGCTCAGAGACCCTGACCCATTTACACAGAGCCCCCCCTTCCATCATGTATCTGTCCCTCTCACTCTCATTCCGTTGTCATCCCTAGACCCCACCTGCCATTTGTTCCCAGCCTGGTTTTCCTGGAGTCAGCTGGGCGGTGGCAAGGGCCGAAGTGCGTGGGAGAGACTCGCCGGGGAGGGAAGAGGAATTCGGCAACTGAGGTGCTTTTCTGGGACACCCACCTTGTCCCTTCTACCGATGGACACACCAAAGCCTCCAGAGGCCCCCCCAGGCCCCCGGGGAGGAGCCCACGGCTGTGAAGACGGTATAAGCAGTCACATGGGGAGAAGTTGGCCAAATGAATTGAGAGGAGGTCCTAGGGCAGGGGTGGGCCAGAGCATGTGGGTCCTTATGAAAGAAAACGGAGGGTTCCTGGGCTAAGGAGACCCCTAACAAACATGCTGAGCCTGACCAAGTCCGTCCATTCCACAAGCTGCGGGACCCGGCTCAGCCCTGGCACCAACCTGAGCCATCCAGACCCCACGTGGGAGCCCTGACCCTCCTTTCCATCTGTTCAAAGGACGGGGGACCTTTCTCTGAACCTGTCATCTCATTTCAAACTCACTCCTTCAAATCAACTCTTTCAGGTTGATTTTAGTAACATTGACTTTATAAATATCTACAGTGTCTACTATGTGCCTGGTTATTTTAAGAATACCTCACGTTTGATGAGCCTTACTGTGTCCCAGGTGCTTTTCCGTGTACTTTACACACATTGTTTTAACCCTCACAAGAATTCTATCAGGCAGGGTCTTTGGTTATCCCTGTTTTACAGATAAGGAAATTGAGGCACAGAGAAGTCAAGTAACTTGTTGAATCACAGTGGTGGAGTTGGGATTTGAGCCTAAGCCCTGTGACTCCAGAGCCCAGCCCTGACCCACTGGGCCAGTTGTTTACCAGGTTGGAGTGCTGGGGGGAGTCATGGGGGGCACTTTGAAGAAATCCCAGTGTGTCCTTGTACCCCACTGGCTACCCAGAGGCAGCAGGGCTGGTGGGCTGTAGAGGGGACAGGCCCTCCGGTATCAGCAGGTTTCAGCAGCCCTCTTTCTCTCTCCCTGCACATCCCACCGGCCACCACGAGGCTTTTAAACCATCCAAAGGAGAGAGAATGGAGCCTGAGTTACTAGCTGGTCTTTCAGACTTGCCAAATGGTGGCACCGAGTGTACAGAAAAGTGCCTGTTTCTCCTAGCCTTTGGCCTACTGTACACCCCCTAACACACACACACACACACACACACACACACACACACGCACACACGCACACACGCACGCACACCTTTCTCCACACATGCTTTGTTCTGGCTGATTAGCTTTGTCAACGCTGTTTTGCTGGAAGCTTTCCTGGCAATGAATGAACACTTTTGGTAACAAACCTCCCCTGTGGCTGAAGCTCCCCCAGGCTTTGTCTGGCACTTTCTCAACCAGCACCCCACCCCCCCATTGCCCCCATCGAGGGCTGTTGGCCATTGTTCAGCCCCTGTGCTGACCTAGAAAAGCCAGGCTAGTCACCACCCGCCCTGCAGCCCCAGCCGCTCTGGAGGAATGGGCTCTGCAGGAGGACGTCTGGTCGCGCTCCTAGGAGCACCCGGCAGAAGGCAGGGGAGACAGCTCCTTGGGGCCCCTGGCAGGTAAGTTGATGGGGGCTCCCCAAGAGCCCTCCTCTCCATTTTAGCAGCCACACTGAGTGCCTCCCAGTACAGAGAGCTTCTCACCTGTGCTCTTGATGTTCACAACAACCTCGAGAGGCGGGTCGTAGAAACATTTTCAGATGAAGAAACTCAGGGTCACGGAGGTTAAACAACTTACCCCAAGTCACAGAGCCTGGACATGGCCTATTTTTCTGACTCTTGACTGAGACGAGTTTCTCAAGATCCACACAATACCCGGGCTCTTCCTGGACTGGAACGATGTGGCGTAAGGTGGTGCTGTTGATGTTTGCAAAAAACATGAGTAAACTCACAATAGTATATATGTCTCCTTGGCCCCAGGAACTCAGGGATCTGAGAAGACAGTCCCAGGCTGAGGTGGAGGCACTGCCGGGGCTGTCAGAGACACCGTCCATTCGACGGTCTCCGGAGTCCTTGTCAGGACACATCTCTCAGGCCCGCCTTTATTTTCCAGCCTTGAACCCCTCACCCTCCCACCACCATCCCTTCAAGCCTCAGTGTCACCAGCAGCAAAATGGGACCAATCTCCTCTGTATTTATTTTCTGTGGCTGTCACACAAAGTACCACAAGCTGGGCAGCTCAGAACAGTAGAAATGTAGTGTCTGCAGTTCTTGGAGCAAGAAGTCCAGCATCAAGGTGCAGGGAGGGCTGGTCTCCCTCTGAACCCGGAGGGAAGGGAACCTTCCTTGTGACCTCCAGCTTCTGGCAGCTCCATCTTCACAGGTTTCCCTGTGCCACACCGTCTTCCCTCTGCGTACATCTGCGTGCAGGTCTCCTTTTTTATAAGGACCAATCATTGGATCAGGGCCCACCTTCAGGACTGCATTTTAACTTGATTTCCTCTATTATGACCCTATTTCCAAATGTCATATTCTGAGGTCCTGGGGGTTAGGGCTTCCATGTATAGTCCTGGCAGGACACAGGTCAACTAACACCCTCTTTGTGAGGACTGAATGTGGGAACACGCGCACAGCTCTGAGCACAGTGCTTGGCTGGCTGGCGCTTTATAATGCCCTGTGAATTGTTGCCAAAAGCAAAAAGCTGAGCAACCTGGAAATACAACGCTTGATGTACATTGTGTGCTGGGCACAGTTTGGGTGCTTGGCATGCATTATCCCCACTGAATCCTACCACTACCCCTGGAGGCAGGCAAGGTTTGCATTGAAATGATGAGGAAGCTGGGACTCAGAGAGGTTAAGGCACTTGCCTGAAGTCACACAGCCTAAGTGGCTGAGTGAAGAATGAAGACCAGGCCTATGCGACTCTGCTACATCACACAGGTTAGGACAGCGCTGTAGTGGGGAGTGGGAGCTGCTCAGAGGGGCAGAAAGGCAGGGAGGAAACGCTAGCACATAGCACATGACCCTGGGGAGCTTCCTGGGTCAGAGAGCATGGAATGCTGCTGACGATAGTGAGTGGGTGGGCTGGACCGCCTGCTGCCTGGCTAGGTGCAGGCAGGCTGCCAGGCTGCAGGGCCGCCTGGTCTGAGTCACTCCACTGTGACCTAACCGGCCCGGCCGATACTCCAGGGCTGGGGCCCGCCCGCCGGGCTGAGGAATGTTGCCCTGAGCATGGACACACTTCATTCTCAGTACACACGGCTCTCCAGGGAGCCAAGAGGTGCTTCCTTAAAGAAGCTTGAAAGTGCAGTTTATGCAAGAGCCAGGCTACTCTCTCTTCCTCTTGCTTGCTTTCCACGAGTTCCCTATACCTGAGGGAAGTGATAAATTAGGTTTTCTATTCGGGACTAGAAGTTCATTTACTCAGGTACTAACGTAATGACTCCCTGGAGCATCTATTCATTCATTCATTCATTCATTCATTCATTTACTTATCCAGCCATTCACCTAATGGTTCACTGACTCATTCATTCATTCACTCAATTACTCCTGCTCACACATTCATGCACACAGCCATTCACTCTGCCACCTATCATCCATCCACCCATCCATCATCCATCATCCATCCATCCACCCATCCATCCATCATCCATCCATCCATCCATCCATCCATCCATCCATCCATCCATCATCCATCCATCATCCATCTAACCTTTATTAAGCACCTACCATGTTTTCCACACAAAGCTGCTCATGCCAGCCCGGCTAGCCTGGCTCAGCGGTTGAGCATAGACCTAGGATCCAGCTGATCGAGGTTCGATTCCCTGTCAGGGCACATGCCTGGGTTGCGGGCTTGACCCTAGTAGGGGGAGTGCAACAGGCAGCCAATCAATGACTCTCATCACTGATGTTTCTCTCTCTCTCTCCCTCTCCCTTCCTCTCTCTGAAATCAATAAAGACATATTAAAAAAATATAAAGCTTCTCACGCCTCCCAAACTACTTTTTCACTCACTTTTACTGCTACTTCAACTTGCATGTTGGGAGGGAGGCCTCTGAACCAATGGGACCCCCAGACCCTTGGCCTCCAGGTGGTGTGGTTTCAGTCTCCTCCTCAGAAAAAGGCCCCAGAGAAGCGGCCAGCCAGTCGTCTGCACAGCCCAGCCTGCACCTGAGAGCAGTGACACTGCCTGGGAATCGGGGCTCCTGAGGGCCCTTTGGCCTGTGGGCTCCATCCCGTCTTTTGATGCCAAGCCTATGCCTATTCCTGGCTGCTGTGGCTCCAGTGTGGCGATTTCTAGGTATTGGGCTCCATGTCTTGCTTCCCCCAGGCCAGAGCAGACCATAGTGACCCGTGGACTTGGGCAGGTCTTTGAGGAGCACCCTGGGCTGCTCTTCTTAGTGTGAAGGCAAATATGCTC